ATCCTACACTTTGTTTCCATGTAATTGCCATAATATGTGCCTGAATTACATATGCAAATGAATAGTAGGGAAAATGTGTGTGAGAACAGTTTAAGAGTCTATTATAGTTTACTTGAAGAGACTTTTATTTCTTAGCACATTTGAATTTCTAAAGAACAGTGTGACAGGGGTGTAGGTTGTAGCTGTGTTGGTCTAAGGACATAGGCAGACAAAATTCTTTGGGTGAATCTGATATCTTTTATTAAACCAACTTAAAATAGTTGGAAAAAAATTTCTTAGCAAGCTTTCGGGTTTTGTCATTCATTTCCTTGGAAAGAGACCAATCACATGGCAAGGGACTTTGCACATCACATGGCATACAGTGTTAGACTAGAATAATGTGTTATCACTCAACAGATGTGCATATATAAAACAAATGTGTGTATATAAAACCAGAACAATTAGTGTTTTTATGCCTCCTTCTACTAGTAAGCTACACATAAATAAAGTCTAGACTTATTTATATCACACAAATTTTTTTTTTTTAAAGCTGATTTCCCACCTCTGGTAAGAAATAAAGATGTTCAAATACAAGGCAAATCTGAACAAATGTATCCGTAAATCCAAGGAATTCCTATATCCATGGAAGTTACTCTTATGTTCAAGGAAAACTGATGTTGAACATATCAAAACATTCCTTTTTAAATCTGACTACAAGTGAATATTTGCTTTCTGCTACTGACAATCCGAGAATTTAAACATACATTTACATTCTCCATTAAAAAACAGATTGAAATGACCATGGCAGATTAATTCAATCACTCTAACTGATCAAAAATATATTTTAACGCTCCATCTTTGTATCATCAGTGCATGCAAGCAGCACTTGGATTTATTCAGACATCCTGAAGCAAAATGAAGTACCAAAACTAAATTAAATATATGCACTAGTGCTTATTTATGTTGTAGTAGTATAATTAATCATATCTAGGTGCTGACAGATTCTCATCTAGCATGATCCTATGCATTATGAAGAAAATATTTTCTTTATTTTTTATTGGAGGACACTGAAGCGTCCTCTGAAACCTGCATGTGACCAGATACCTTTTCAAACCTGCTTTGAAAAAAGACACACAGCAGAGGATCAAAAACTCACCATAGAGTCTGGTTTTAGCTTTCTCCCTAACAACAGTTGCTCCTTCTTCTGCCACTACTGCTAATCTTAAGACTATCTAGCCCACAACTGAGATGAGGCACCTGCCTCAGAGTCAGCAGAATCCTCAAATGTTTCCCCAACAAGATCAGCTCTTGCTAAACAAGAATAGTTCATCAAACAATTGGCAGCTTATTACACATCAGAGAATCTAGGAAATCCATAGGCACGCAGTATGAACTACTCTGTTTTTTTAGAGAGACAAGCTCACCCAGACACATTTTAAACACATTGGTAAGGTAAGGGAATAAAACTTGTGTTACTGCAGCCATTGCTGTATCTCTTCTGTGGACAAGATAGAAGAATGTAAGTGTTCAAAGCTGTCATTTAGGCAGTTTCATGTCTACTATAGTCAGAGGAAGTATAAAGCACAAAAGGAAGAAAATCCCTTCAGTGTCCTGTATAATGTCCAAGTGACATCACATAGCGAAAGGAAACCATTTATTTAGAAAAAGGCCATCGCAAAAGTACTACTTTCTAAAAGTTAACAGTACAAATCTCCTGACCAGAAAAGTACCTGCCACCAGCTACTCAAACAGAATGATATGTCTGGGATCATAATTAGCAGCTATATCTACTGTCAGTGATGGCTCTTAACATCTAGAAATGACAACATTCTACTTTTTTGCTCTTTACAGCAGAAAAAGTTCAAGGATGGGGCAAAGTACCAAGTAAAACAGTGGGGAAAAAAGATTTGACTATATCACAATCTGGTGCACATGAAATTTAGCTCGAGTCTAAATCTAAAGAGAATGATTATGCTTAATTGAAAAATGGGAATGATGGGCCATCAAATGGAGTAAGTATGCATTCTTCATTCAAATACAAGAGGCGACAATCTTGTGAGGAGAATTATCATGAAGCTGCTTCCCAAACTGTTTTCATATGATCTGGCTGAAGAAGTGTCAGAGCATTCAGTGAAGCAAACTGAAAGTCCATGCAACCACTTCTGAATACTCCTCACCCAAAGACTTAGTAGAGGATGGTATCCTTTTTCCCTGGATCACTACCAAGAAGAATAGTTTTGACAGTCCTAGGATCCACCCAAGAGGGCCAGTGGGAATTGACTGGGGTGCAGGGATTTCAGGATGGGGACCCTACACATTGTTTGCTTTGTTAACACTGTTCTATTATCTTTTCAGTGTTGAATATCTCATGGTTTTGAGCCAAGTCACAGCAACAGCAATTACTAGAAAGACTTCAGTTTAAATGCTGAATGACACCTTGGTTCAACAGGTTATACAGTCTCATCAAAATATGTATTAAGTCATTATTTCTTAATTAAATATCTGAGCTTTAGCTTCAGCATGAAAAAAAAAGAAATCAGAATAGGTTGTATTTGGAAAAGTGCTGGCAAGTCACTTGTACCTATAAATGTTTCTCATGAATTGTACACTCCACAGGTTGCTTGTGACCACAAACCATTCTGAAGCCCATTATACCATCACAAAGTGCCCTGTAGTCTCTGCCCAGTCAGGAAAGAGCCCAGAAAGCCATCTGGCAGGGGCACCATGATCAAAAGGTTGATCATAGGGACAGCATATTTTCCTTCACTACCAGCCAACCAGAGCTAACCACCTGGATTCCTCCTCCTCAGCTCCCTGTGCTCAGTTTGAAGATTCAGTTTCCCTGAGCAGCTGCAGGGAAGTGCACACCTCCATCCTCCCACACCCCTGCCACCAAAAAGCCTGAGCCTTTTCTGTCTTCACACTTGGATCTTTCTTGCCATATGAGAGGTTAAAGAAAGAAGAGCAGAGAGGGAAACAGAGCAGATCCCTTGCCTCCTTCAGCTAGGACCAGTATGGTGGAGCTTGAGTTCTTTGATTTGTGCAAAATTCAGTAGACGGGGGAATTCAAAGTGGAAGCAGCAGGAAGTCAGCTGGCTGGAGCACTTAAGAGACTCCCAGCAGTCATAGAAAAACAGCAACACCTGATATGGAAAAACAATGACCCAGCTATGATTTCTCTGCTTATCTCCTGTTCTCTAAAAACAGCAGTTGTCAGCCTTTCTGGACGTAAGGCATCCTTCAGTGGACTCAAAGCACCTCTCCATAACTTGTGTGATGGACAGATTTTTTTTCTTGGTTGTTGGTGACTGATTTGGTGACTTTGAGTTAGAGGATCCTGAGATACTAACCCCAAGGCCCCCTCTAAGATCAAGAACTTGCAGTCCCCCTCTTTCTTGCTTTTAAATAGAAAGCCTTGAGGCTTTAAACAAGGACAGCAAAGCCCACACAAGAAAAAAGAAAAACACTTGCCAGAGAAACCCTGATAAGATGGGGATCTACTGAGATCATTTTAAAAGCTATGTAAATGGACAGTCACGGTCTGAAAGGAAAAGAAGAACAGAACTGTCACTTACTTTCACTATAGTAAGATAATTAGTTAAGATAGAAGGAACCATAGTTTGAGTACCACCCATAATTATGCCCAGCTATATTAATATCAGCAATATAATCCAAGGGCATCCAATTCAAAACTAAAATAAACCAACAATTCTACAGACATACTATGAAAGACATGGTTATATTCAATGTTCCCTCTAAGGTTTAGTGATCTGTAAGCAATCCTGGCTGGGAGTGCGCGGGTATCTCAGTGTGCTTGCCCCTCCGCACCTCTTGCAGCAGCCTGTGGCCAGGATGGGGTGGTGACAAGCAGCCAGATGAGAAGGTGGCAGTGGGGGGGCGCATTGCTGCCCCCTTGCTACAGCACTGGGCATCCCCCCAGGCTGGTTCCCAGGGGGCCATGGCCTCCTATTGCCCCCACACACACACCTCCTGTCGGTATGCCACTATGTACGCAGCATTAAAAAGTTATTGCATGGCATGATTTTTTATTGTGTACAGCCATGCATGCATGCAGCTTAGAGGGAACACTGGTTATATTACAAAGTGATTCACAGTAAAGGGATTAATTGATCTCTAAATGCCAATGTTCAAATCTACTCTTCAATCACAAAGTACAGTTTATAAATCATAATCCTATACAGGTGCAGATATACAAAAAGCACCACTGAATCCAGTATGCTGAGTATTATGGTACATTTAAAAGACAGTGTATGGAATGTCAAAAGCTGTGAAAAGTGTAATTTATCATTGCTGACAGATATTATTTGGTCTGTTAAGCATTTTGGAACTATTACTGATAAGAAAAAATAGCAAGCCTAACAATTCAGCAACATACCTTGATAAAGAGGATATTCTTCTAGGCATAGAAACATCTCACAGAATAATAAAAAGAAAACAATTTCTCAGAGAGAACATTTATTATTCAATTCCTGAATTGCTGCCAAGGCATAGCAAGGAAGGAAATCAGAAGCTGCCTTGAATAAGTCCAAAAGTGATTTGTCCCTGCTACTATTGACTAACTGGAGTTTTGCATTTGTCTTACTTCTAGAGGATCTAGTCATTGTGTTGCATCAGGTGGCTACTATCATATCCTCTGGGAGAACGTGATGTTCCTTTTTGCTTGCAATACAGAATGGAGAAAATAGGTTTTGGCAGGGATCTTTTTTTTTTTCCCATTTGTACCAAAAGCACAAAAGATAAAGGTTACTTAACTTATAGCGTGTATAGCGTATTCCAGCTTCTTCTTTCTTTTATAAATTGAGCTAAGGCTGTGAATGTACCTGCCAATTGTAACTCAAAATTTGATTTGTATATTAATGTCGCAGTCAAATTCACTTGACAGCACAAGGCCACGTGTCACACCACTGTGCTACTCTAAATTTTCACCGGTGTATCCATGATCAGTTTGGCCCTTTGCATTTAGGTGGCTACAGTATGATACACTTCACCCAAGTACTTACCATTGTCTTGGAGAGCATAAGCTGAGGTCGCTACTCTTACATTTTGTTTCACTTTTGTGTTTTTCTTAGAAGAATGGCTCTCCTCTTGGTTCTGTGTTTTCTTTTCTTTTCTTTTTGGAGGCTGAGGTGATGACACCATTTCTGCTGTGTCGCTGGATCCAACAGTAGATTTAGATTGTCGATCATTCCCCTAAGAATAAGGTTCATAGTTTTCATAGGTGAATACAGGGCAATTTTTCTTAAGTTTCACAGTAAACTGCCTAAGTTTCAGTATTAATAGGCATCAAAGCACAGAAGCAAGTATATTAAGTTACTACCAGGATTTTTAGATGGCATCTTAAATAATGCTATCTTGCCATCTAGTTATCAATGGCTCAGAAAAATAGATATTATTTTTGTTTAATGAAGACAGAGAGTATAGTCATAGTTCAGTCTTTTTGTTTTAATGGCTACAATTTCTCAAATTCACATTAGAGAGCCCTGAACCAACAAGCAATAGCAATACAGAGTATAGATTCCAGGCTGAAACCAGTGGAACTTCACTAACCTATGCCAGCTGAAAATGTTGCCCTAGATGATAAATATCATAAGTTTATATTCCTATCTTCCTATCTGTTTACATGATTTTAAATTCCCACCATGCATAGTTAAATTGTCGGGGGGGGGAGTTGAAACTTGCTTTTATTACTTCTTTCAATAACATAAAACAGCATAAGAGATTAATTCATTTTTTTGCACATACCAGTACTGGATGTCATCTTCTTGTTTCTATTTTTCAGACTTGTGATAGTTAAATAGGACTTATGAAAAACAGATGCTAGAATTTTAGAAACTTATATGAATGAAAAAAAGGAAATTTCTCTTTATATTGATCTTTTCATCTTTTATTGAGTTTAAACTGAATGAGGTAGTGATACATAGTAGTGATGGTGCCATTGGCAATGACAATGATGAGGATGATAATAATAACGGAGGCAGCTAGTATATTTTGGCTGTCAGACAGAAGTGGTTTGGGGAAAATAAGAGTACTAGATTTATATTTTTAGACTGTGGGATTAATTATTACTGTTCTGTAACTTTATGCCTGTCTAGAGTCAGGGCAGAGCAAATAAAATACTGCTATAGTGATATGGTACTACTTTATACCCATATTGCACTCACTCAGCACTGGCTGAAATAAAAAGCAACTAACCAATGAGGACTATAATTAAGATCAAGGTCAGGGAAGTAGGTACTCAGTCTAAAATAGGGAAAGAATAATTCGGAGGTTATTTAGATTAGTTAGATGTAGGCAAACCAGCAGGGTCTGAGAAGAGTCACCCAAGAGTATTCAAGGTATTGGCTGAAGTTATTGCAGAGCCATCAGCTATTTATCTGAAAACTCCCAGAGGTCAGATGAAACCCCTTAAGATTGATGAAAAAGGGGAAATGGAACACCCAGCGAATTACAGACTAATCAGTCTAATTCTGGTACATGAACCATATCATCAAATAATTGATTTATAAGTACCTTGGGCCCAATCCTATTACTGCTCCAACCTATAATTGTTGCTTGCCTCAACATTAGGTGCCTCACTTAACGAGGCCTAATCTGATGACTCCTCCAATGTGCTCAAGTCCCCTGGAAGAGGTTATACTTATCACATAATTAACATGCTTATTTCACCATAAATAGTAACCCTGCCAGAAGTTCAGGTAATTAATAGTATGACAAAGTGAGAGAACAGCCATAAAATGTTTATGGTGTAAATGTCTATATAGGGTGCAAAATGGTAGGGAACTGGACTCTTCATCTGTAATTATTTTCCAGAACACTGGGAACATGGGATAGGTAATTCTTTTAGAGACTGATACAAAGTCCATTTAAGTCTGTGGGAAGACTCCCACCGTCTCCAGTGGGCATTGAATCAAGTACATATTGAGGGTCCAAACATGCAAGGATTATTCAACAGGCTTCAAAGAAACATCTCAGAATGAGCATCTGGTCTTTGTTTGTGTTTCAGAAGTGTTCTGCAAGGTGTTGTACAGAATCAAGAAATTGTTCCAGCAACAGTATTTGCTTCAATTATTTTTTGTGTAACTAGTCCTGTAAATAGCTTTATATTCTTCAGACAGTAATAAACGTACCACCAGGTGGCTGTGGGCTCTCTTTCCTCAGGTTTAACTGAAACCCAAAAGGACAATGATTTTCCATCTCTTGGAATTAAGAACCTTATTATGACATATGATACTCACACTCCCTTTAGATTTTCGGGATCCTGCAATAGGAGGCAGTGAAGAGGCTTTGGAGCTGTAGAAAAAAAAATACCTTAGGACTCTGAATACTATCTATGTCATAGATACTAAATGTGCATATATGTTTTCAGATACAAAACAGTGGTCTGTTGTCTTAATTACGGAAACGCCATTTATTAATTTTTCTACTGCACTGTTTTATTAAGAAATGTCACCAACATAAAAGTTTAATCATTTGTGATATAAATTACATTTCCATGCTTCGTATACTGAAAAAACTTGAGGATAGTATCCTTTACTTAATAGGCAGAAGAGCCTCACAGCTGGTATAATCTGCACATTCCCACTACTTTCAAAAGAACTTTTCATCTTTCCATTATTTCTTTGCAAACACTTTTCACTTTGAGTTGCATGCACTCTACAAATCGTCTGTTAAATCAATGTGTATTGCATGCTAGCTAATTTGTAAAACTATAGGACAAATTCTGATCTAACATTAGTTCCTAACTTACATGATTCCATTGGTTTTAAAGGAACTATTCCCAATTTATGCTAGAGAAAAAATGTAAGATGATGTGGGGACAACATTTTTTTTCAAAAAATGTAAGGGACCACTCCAACTTTTTAGATCCTTATGCTGTATGCCATTATGAGTTAATCCTGCCCATACCTACTACCACTATAGAATTTACTACCATGCACTGTCCATTTGAAAATCAATGGGATGACTTATAGTAAGTAATAAGTAACATGCCCAGTAGTGTTTGTAACATTGCAGAGGCATTGCCTAGCTCCTGTTGAACACATAGCGAAGTCCAGCTCAGCTCCCTTTCCTCTCTGAACAGGTAATCAAGGGAAGACATTGGATGCCACTAAGGAAGTTCTTGCTTCACACCAAGGTCAGAGGCTGGTTTACAACACCTTTCTAAAAGAGCATATGCTCAAACAAGATATAAAAATAAAGTGGACATTAAATGGTTGTAAATTAGCATAGCTCCACGGAAGTTCATAAAGATATGCAGAGAAAGTGGGCTCCTGATGGGGGAAAGCCAGGCTAAAGGAGCGAAAAATCCTTCCCCTAGTATTTTTTTTGTGATAGACAATCTCCAGTTTCAATGGCATGCTTATGGGAAAAAAATCTGTCCATTGTTCTCACCTTTCTTTCTCTCTGTTAATATTATTTTTCTCCTTTTCTTTCTGATTGATTTTGACCATTAGGTTTTTTCAAAATTATAAATACCAGTAATAGTCTGAATCCATGTTCCATTGTGTGTGCCTGGAAGTAGGGTTTTGTACTTTATTGGCCATGGTTTGTAAACACAATGATGCAAACCCAAACACCCAAACAATTAATGTACACAATGTGAGCTTACCCTTGCGGTCTTCTGATGGTAGACTTGCTAAAGAGTAGATCACCATAAGGCAACTTCTTAAACTTGTCTCTGCCCACTGCAATGTAAAATTGCCCATTCTCCAAATCTGACCCACTCTGAACCAGTTTTCCATCTAAAGTATAAAGCCTGAAAAATATTAGTATTAAAAGCATGAATATATTAATTATTCTAATATCCAATTAGATTTGCTAACCACATCAAAAAGCCAGTATAACCTATACCCTTAAAGAAATAATGATTTTATCTATTCTGGCCACAATTTTACCAGATTTTAAAATGCAAAGCTAGAGAGGCTGTCACACAACTACCAGTCTGACAAAAAAAACCAACCACCAGGGAAGAATGTCAGAAAAAGATCAATTCCTTGGAAACATGGAAATCTAATTTGGAATTGATCCATTCCATTCTGAGATTTCTTTTTCCTTATCCTCACATCTGGCTGGGACTTCCCTCCCATTTAGCCATATGGGAAGAATAAACTAATCAAAGTCCTCAAATTTAGAATTTATAGTCAATTCATTTCATAGGTGAAAATAATTAATAATATGAGCATAGCACACTTACTGATACAAAATACTTTGGATTATTGCTATAATTTTGCCAAATCATTTCTAAGTTATAGCAAAGTGTAGCATGTATAGAGCAACTAAATACCAAACTGGATGTGTCCGTCACACTACAGAGATCTCTAAGTTAAATTGTCGCTGTAGATAAAGTAACAAGTTACTGCACTAATATTTACTGAAGCTGAAGGAAGGATATTCTCTTGCTTGGTGATTTTTATTTCTCTTTGTTCCAGCCACCTCATTTCTAAGAGTGTGATCTTATAAAAGAAAGATCATAATTAAAGTGTGTGGTGTGGGGAAGGAGGAAATCATTCTATCCTGTGCAACGTATTCCAGAATTCAAAAGCCGAAGTATGTCTGCATAGTTAAAATTAACATTAAAATTTGTATATTTGATAAACCTTCTAGAGGAACCTTAAATATGCATGTTATTCATAAACTCAAACAGGTGATGATACAGAAACAAATAGTAAATTTAACATCACAATAAGCTTTTTCCAAATTATAAGAGCATGAATAGGGCAGTAGGAACCAGCAGCACACTTACACAATGGGGAACTCCCTACTCGAGAGCACGGAGGCAGAAAGAGATCTTGGAGTCATTATAGACTCCAAGATGAACATGGGCCGACAATGCGAGGTCATGGTTGGCAGGGCTAACCGGACCTTGTCGTGCATCCACAGGTGCATCTCGAGTAGAGCCAAGGAGGTGATCCTCCCCCTCTACGCGACGCTGGTCAGGCCACAGCTGGAGTATTGTGTCCAGTTCTGTGCGCCCCATTTCAAGAGGGATGTGGACAACATGGAGAGGGTCCAGAGGAGGGCCACCCGCATGATCCAGGGACAACAGGGCAGACCCTACAGTGAGAGACTGCGGGACCTGAACCTATTCAGCCTCCACAAGAGAAGGCTGAGGGGGGACCTGGTGACCGTCTATAGACTCACTAGGGGGGACCAGAAGGGTTTGGGGGAGACGCTGTTTCCCCTAGCGCCCGCTGGCATAACAAGGAGTAATGGGCACAAGTTGATGGAGAGGAGGTATAGATTGGACATCCGCAAAAACTACTTCACAGTTAGGGCGGCTAGGAGCTGGAACCAACTTCCAAGGGAAGTGGTGCTGGCCCCTACCCTGGGGGTCTTTAAGAAGAGGCTGGATGCCTACCTGGCTGGACTCATTTGAGTCCCGTTTCTCTTTTTGGGGTTTTTTGTTGTTCTCCCGCCCTGGCGGGGGGTCGGGCTAGAAGATCTACTAGGTCCCTTCCAACCCTTAATCTATGAATCTATGAAGAGAGATCTCCGCAATGCTGTAATGTTCTGTATTTTATGAGAGACAAAATGTTTCTTTTTCAGACAATTCTCAGCATTTTACATTAATTTTCTATAATCAGTATGAATGAAGAAAAATAATTTGATGACTGCATTTTCTGTATTTCTGAGGTCAGGTGCCCACTGGGTTTAACCTTGCACAAAATCAGACAAACCACACAACTTGTATAACTACACTCCTATCACATTTTTGTAATCCATTATGCTCCTCTGCTTCCTAAGATTTGGAAGTTCCTCAATATTCTAGGTATAGAAGATTGTGAGTTAACATAACCAGATTATTTGCTCATTTTATATATTATTAGACACACACACACCCCCAATCGCAGCTTTCCAAAATATTAATCACTTTGCTGCTCCCTTGCACATCCAGTAAGTCAGGTTAATGGCTCCTCCTCTGTTATCACGTGTACTGAGCAGGGCATTTTTTAGTCCAAACATTTCACAGAAATGTCAGCAAAAAACTTGACTGCCACACATAAGCCATGAGTACCAGCTGAAGGCCATTAATGATCAAGCAGGCTCACAAAGACATGGGTGTCTAAAATCAATAAGGAACCCATTTCTGAATTCACTTCATCATGCTTTGCTTGACCACACACTGCTTGAAGAAGCCTGAATAACTAAGGCAAATCAATCTAGCTTAGGAGATGAATTCTACCATAGGTGATATGTATGTGAATTTTACTTCATGTGTTTTTGTGCTTTTAATGTCATGTTTGTTGTTTCATTTAATGCTTTCTTCCTAATGAAACACCCAAAAGATTTATCATGAAATATTCAGTGGCCTCCAGCTATATTCTTCTCAATAAGAATAATAATGGAAGTAATGGAGTTAAACATAATCAGGTATTTAAAGTAAAAACAATGACAAACAGGCATTGAACAATAAAACATTGTGTGCGCGTGCATACACGTGTGCATGTGTACATACACACACACAGTTTTATCATTAAATGCCTGTTTGTCATTGTTTTTACTTTAAATACCTGGTAATGTTTCACTCCAATATAACATATATTACAGACCTGACAAGCAGCACATAGGTTGTGTTCCATTTATGCCTCTGCAGCCTTCAACCCACCCACTCAGTCACGTCTATCCACAGCTCACCATGTTTTTCATGAACCCCCCTGCCATCTTTTCTTTGGGCCACAGGGAGATGTTCTGCTCTACCTCCCCTCCCATGCCACAGCCAGAAAAAGGAAGACAGGAGCAGAGGAAGCAGAAGCTGGCAGACTGTGGCAGTGATGCAAGGTGTGGGGGCAATGCCCCAGAACATTGGCAGTGCATAAGGGGGGCAGATGGGTGCCCGTGCACCCCCTGAAATAGGCCGTGCACCCCCTGGAAGCTCCAGCTGTGAAACTGGAAGTGCCACCAGAAGTGCACTTCTGGTTTTGCCACAGGCTCGGTGATGGGCCACTGGGGGACCCCTGCCCCCAGTCAGTGATGGGCTCCTGGGGGACTCCCCCACCCCCAGTCAACGATCAGCCACTAGGGAAATCCACCCCCACTGCCCACTGCCAATCTGGTGCCCCCCACCCAGGCTCAGGAGGCACCAGTCACCCATGGCCCAGAATCCCCATCTGCAGCCTTGTCCACACACCTACCTGCTTCACCTGCAATTCTTTCATCTCCCATCCCTTTGTCTACACAATTTCTATGTCATCAACCCAAGGTGTACCTCCTAACCATCATCTAACCTCACACTTCCGAGCTGCCCATACACATGTGCAACATATCTATCAGGGACCTGGCACCCGTTATTTCCTGACGCTTTGTTTCCCGTCTTTCTTCTTATCCCATATTTCCTGCAACTGTTCCCATACCAGTGTTACTTGGTGGAAAGAATCAGTGGCATAAAAATGTCACCAATGAAGCTTTAAAAATGTTGGCAGCTAGGCTGTTAATGATGTGGAAAAGGAAAACACCGAGCATGCACTGTGTTTCTCGTAATTCTCTCACTCCTTGTATAATGAGAAGTTATATCTTCCCAGCATCAGTGAGCTCACAGGACCTTCCACCTAATGATAACACAGTTACCATAATCCATAGCAATTAATCTGTGACTTATTAAAGAACAACAATTACTTTACTAGCTTATTTAATATATATTCCTACCATTTTAAGGAGCAGGATATGAAAACTAGGTTAATAGGAAACCAGAGGAGGGGAACACTGACTGATTCAAATATGCTGTGCATATTTTTTTTTATCATATCTAAAAAAAGAGAATGACTAACATAAAACACTGCTGGAAATTCTTCAACTACAGTCTTAGTCACAGTTTATACCCTACCAGAGGCATAACTTCCCAGCCCTACAATCTAGACAGTCACTGTGCAAGGTGCAGAGGCAGTGGCCAGACATCCTCTGCTATGGGGGGAGATGTCACCTCCTTTATAGCTATCAAAATGGGTTTTAAACACTGATTTCCATGGGCAAAAACCCTGCTCTGACAACTCCACCTCCTGTAGTACCCTGTTTCTATCAGCCGGTGCCACCACACTATGTGCCATCACCCAGGCACTGCTAACCCCATCACTGCTGCTCAGCCCTCCCCACTGCCAGAGCTGCTGCCTGGATGGTGCAGGGTGCAATGGGGAGACAGGGGACAGAAGGGTGAGGCACCCCACTGCCTCCATTCTGGCACCCCACACCCTGGGCAGCACTCAGGGATCATGCCCTCTCACCCACCTATCATTATACTACTATATCTACTACATCTACTAATTTAGTTAGTAGGTACAGTACCTACTAATAGATAACCTACTTATTTGGTTCCTTGTTAAAGCAGAGAGTTGCATCCAGACATGAGAGGGAAGCTCTCATGGTTTAGATGGAAATAAAGAGTAAGATTCTCACCAGATGTCACTACACTGAAGTGACTGGATTTACATCCATTTATACCAGCTGAAAATCTGACCCAGAAAGCACTCATATATATTTATAAGTGCACATATGCTTATTTAGTTCTATATTTAATCTTAGGCGTTCCAAGAATTTTGTGAGCAAAATTTTGGGTTTGACAATGACATCAGAAACACAGGCCTGGAGATAAAGGGACTGGACAGGTGCTACCTGGAAAAGGGTCAAATTGTTTCATTTGGACAATGCCAAAATGTTTTACCTTGAATTTGTGTTAATTCATTTCAGTTTGAACCTGCCTGACATTCATTCCTAATTTTAGTGATGTGTTATGGTTACAGATAGTGTCAAGCTAATGAATAAAATGCATGACATTTAATAGGAGATAAAAAAAGTTTAAACAAAATTAATGGAAACATTCAAAATAAAACATTTTGATGGTCCTGAATTTACATTTTTTTAAATTTTCGTTTTGTGGGAAAGTTCAAAATGTTGCCATTTTGTTCTAGTTAAGAACATTGTTTGCTTGCTTTAGAAATGCCAGAATTTCAATTTCCCATAGAAAAAACCCCCTCCAGATAACAATCACCTGTTTACAGAGACATAAACATATGTCAGTGCCTAAAGTTTGTATTACAAGCTTACAGCTTCCTCATACCTGTGCACAGCTCCACTTCTGAGAGTTATTTTTTCTGTAACCATCTCAAGAACATGTTCCCATTGAGTCAGTGTTTTCCTTGGGATGAAGAGACGTACTGCTGGATTTATGATGTCTCCGTTAGCAATCAGACTGGAAAAATAAAGGAAAGTTAAATACATTAGAGCTGTGCTTAAATTTAAAAAAAATAGAACTCAATAGAAACATTAAAAATATGTTGATCCCTACAGAAAAAGCCAACTTACAAAATAGTACATGGCTCCTGCAGAGGTTTACGAAACCGTGCAGACACATTGATTCTACTGTGCGTAACTGGCTTCACCTGGAAGAGAAAAGATATACAAAGATTTCTTTTTCCTTCATATTAAGATCAGATTTTTAAAAATTGTTTTATTCTACTTACTTATTTGGCCAACTCCATCCTTTCCAAAAGTAGATTAAACAAGCTTTAAGCTACTGCCATCTGGCACTCAGTACTTCAGTGGCTCAACTATACTGGCTGTGGATGTCGTTTTGAAGGAATTGTTGGGATATAATGTTTGGGACCTAGACCTCTAGCAGGACCTTATTTTTTCTTCCACCCTTCCTCAAGTGTGCATTGTGTCACTAAAATACACTCCTCACACAGGGTCTAAACTGAACTTCAGCACTCCGTAGTTTCCGCTACTGATTTTTCAGTGATGACTGCTGAGTCACACAAGGCCCAGGGTCCCAAATTGAAGCTCCAAATTCATAAAGCTACTTTCTTGTAATTCATATCTATTGTTTTTCAAAGTCAACCTTGAAGTTTCCATTTGGTAAAACACCTAAATACCTCCAGGCCCTGATAACTAATATTTTGCTCTTACACGGATCTTTACATTCAAAATTGTCAACATATTTTACAAAGCAGGGAAAGTACAAGGCTCATTTACGGATGGGAAAAATAGCTTGAGTAAAGCAATTTACTCAAGAATGGCATGCTGGCAACAGGCAGAAATAGAATGCAACTACCTAAGTTCCAGTTCTCTGTGCTAACAACCACACGGGCTGCCTCATACATACATACTGTTTTCAGAGAGCCTTGACATTAATTTTGAAAATAAAATTATCCAATGTTATCTATACAGGGCTTGCTACTGCAATCATAACACTCTTCCACCCCGCCCCAAACACACCTAGAGGAAGATTTTAATTCTTCCATAATTCACAAATCATTCAGTCAAATTCACTGCTTAAATCCCAAATAAATATCTAGAAATAAAGGAAAATATGTTGACACTGGCATTAAGCCAGCAAAGGGTAAAAAGGTTAAAGTAGTACACAAGGAGAAACATACTTTAAAGTAAATTAATAAATTTAGTAAGCTTATACATCTAATAGAGTGAGAATCATAGAGAAGTAGGGCTAGGAGGGACTTCAAGAGGTCATTTAGTCCAACCCCCTGCCCAACTCAGGATCATCCCTATCCAAACCATCCCATACAAATCCATTATCTAACCTATAGTAAAAGTATAGTTAACCCTGACACAACCCAAGACATAATACCCTAACCTGCCACAGGTAAAGCAGGGGTGCCATGGCAGCCAATGTCCTGCTTCTGTAAAAGGGTGTTAGTACATGATCAAGAGATCCCAGGTAGAGGGTTAGTTCCTCCATTATAGTGGAAGGTAAACATCCCCATAGTCCATACCAATCTGACCATGGGGTAAAAATTCCTTCCTGACCCCAAATATGGTGATTGGTCTGACCCCAAGCAGAGGGAGCAAGACGCTTTAAGCCAAGAATCTCTGGCTTTAAGACCCAGGAGGAGCATTAGCACACCCCAGTCAATATCCCCAGCATTGGCTGTAGTCAACATCCAATGCCTCTGAGGAAGGTTTTAAAAAAAATCTCTAATACAAAAAAAATACTCTGATATGCTGGACTCTTTCAATCTATATCAGACTTCAATAATGGCTAATATTATGTCAGTTTAATAAATATTCCTCATTTTAATCTGCGAGACAACATGGACTCTGAAATACTACCTCTCTCTAGAATACTAGTCACTAAGGGCATGTCTACACAGTAACAGAAAAGTGCCCACAGTAACAGTGTCAACATTTACCATTAGCAGTATTTCAAAGTGAGGTATATTATATGAGGCAAAAATATATGTAAAATGGTGCTTTGGGCTGGCATTACAGTAACTGAGCACCAAAAGTCAGAGGGATAAATACACAAACACACACATATATCTATAGATATAGATTTAATGTTAATGCCTTTCATATATATATATACACACATACACACACACACA